CTGGGTGGTTCAATCGGTTCAGTGTCCGACTTTGGCTCAGGTCATGATCTCACAGCTTGTGGGTTCAAGCCCCTCATCGGGCTCTGTGCTGACAGCTCAGAGCCTGCAGCCTGTTTCAGATTCTGTGTCTCCCTCTCTGACTGTCCCCTACTCAAGCTCTCTCTCTCTCTCTCTCTCTCTCTCTCTCTCTCTCAGAAATAAATAAAAAACAGTAAAAATAAAATAAAATAATATAAAAATTATAAAAAGAGTGATCAGAGAGGGAATCTGAAGCTTTCAAAAGCAGAAGTCCACCAGCCTGTGTGGTAGACTTTTTTGTTGTGTGTGGTTTGTGTGGTAGTTTTCTAGTTAAAAAACAAACAAAACGTGATGCCAGAAGTAACATGAAATTGATATAACAAAGTAGAACGTGTGTTAGGTGTGTAGTGCTTACTCTGTGCCAAGTGCTGTTCCAGGTGCTGGGAATAGATCAGTGAATTGAGACGAGGCTTCTGTGCCCATGAAGCTTGCATTCATACTAAATTGATTGTTTTAGGCAGTGATGGGATTAACTATTTATATGCTATCATAATTAGTTTGCTGGTATCTTTGTGTGTTGTAGTTGTTTTTTACATTCTTATAAGGACAAATATTAAAGATGTAAAAGTAGGCAAAATAACAAAATGAACTCATTTTATTTTGAACTCAAATCATCCAAGTGGCAGTTACCAGCTCTTGGTCATTCTTTTTTTTTTGTCTATGCCTCCCCCAGCTTTTTTTCTCCCAGATTATTTTGAAGTAAATCCAAGATACCCTATTTCACATGTAAATAAAGATGTTAGTATGTTTCCAAATGATAAATATGTTTAAGAGGAGTTGCTTATCAAAATTTTTCTTTTAAATAAAATATTTTTGTGTTAGATTTCATGCCACATATTGTAATGACAATGGGAAAGTTTTTAATGTTTGTTTTTGAGAGAGAGTGTCTGTGTGAGTGGGGTAGGGGTAGAGAGAGAGAGAGAGAGACACAGAATCTGAAGCAGGTTCCAGGCTCTGAGCTGTCAGCACAGCTCAGATGACACAGGGCTCAAACTCATGAACTGTGAGATCATGACCTGAGCCAAAGTCGGATGCTTAACTGTCTGAGCCACTCAGGCACCCCTGATATTGGAAAACATTTTAAAGAAACGTGCTAATCCTCATAATTTGCCCCAGTTAGTAACAAGACTAAACATTAGTGTGGAAAATTTGACACTAAATATTGAATGATACAAAACTTGGTGCTTTCACTAACTGAAAATATTTCTCATAAGAGGTAGTTCTATTAAATTGGAATTGATAGCTAATTAAGAAATAATTGCTTATTTTGTAACAAAACTTAATCACCATTTCTGATGTAAAAATTGTAAAACTAGTTTGTAAGTATCTTAATCTAATTTTCATTAGCACAAACAAAACTGAACAGTCCTTATTTCACAAACTCAGAAGCCCCAATGGTAGGAATTGTTCTAGCCCCAAGATAGTGACCTATGTGAATGTGTAAATTTCACAGACCTATAACTTCTCAAAAAAGTATGTATATGCAAGGTTTTGCTTTCTACGTCCTGACAGTGGATCATGATTAAGTAAAATAGGCTTAAACATTTTTTTAAAAATGAGTTACATATACTTTTTTATTTTGGTCTGATCATAATACTAATTTTGGAGGAGCAAATCTGATAGATTTTATACGTATGTTTGGAAATTCTAGTAACAGCCATAGAAAATTGGTACATGGTAAAAATATACAACACTTGTATTAAATTGATATGGTCTGATCTTTTTAATGGGATACTGTACATATTTTTCATAATGAACTAAAGCAGTGAAAATTGATTTCATCGAGGTAAATTCAGATTATATGTCCACACTCAAGATTTGAAATAACCTGCATTTTATTTTTTAAAATGTTTGTTTATTTTGAGAGAGAGAGAGCAAGCACATGCAAGTGAGGAGAGGGGCAGAGAGAGAGGAGAGAGAATCCCAAGCAGGCTCTGAGTTTTCAGCACGGAGCCCGACCAAGGGCTTGATCTCTTGCTGAAATTCAGAGTTGGACACTTAACTGACTAAGCCACCCAAGGTGCCCCTGAAATATCTGCATTTTAAATAATAGAAATGTTTTGATTCCATTGGGTTAATTTTTAAATTAATCGAAAATGATCCTCTTATCCTGAATCTTTTAAGATCTTCTTTAGAAGTTATAATTTTTATTTCTGGTTTGTATATAACAGTGCCATTATTTTCCAAGACGTTTCTAAAATGAAGGCTCCAACCTTATCAGTACCTGACGCCTTGTGTATTTCTGTTAGCATTTAGAAAGGAAAATTACAGGGCTTCTGGGTGGCTCAGTTGGTTAAGCGTCTGACTCTTGGTTTCAGCTCAGGTCATGATCTCATGGTTTGTGGTTTCGAGCCTTTTGGAGTTCTCTCTCCCTTTCTATCTGCCTCTCCTGCTCATTGACACGTGCGTGCTCTCTCTCCCTTTCTCTCAAAATCAATAAACATTTTAAAAAAAGAAAAAGGAAAATTACATGTTTATAGCTCAGTGTAAAATTTGTAGGAGAATTTCAAACACTGATGGTTTTTCCAACAAGGTCAATATAAAATACTGTTTGAACTTTTTTATTAAAAAAAACTTTTGAAAAAATTTCTGAGAAATTTGCCTCTCATCATGTATTTTATTGGGGAAAAAAAATCCTTGCATAGTATTCCTAGATAAGAAAGGAACTTTCTGAAAATATAATCTTGCTTTATCACAGACTCCTCCAGTCATCTTCATTTCCTTAAATCTTTTCATATAACTAGGGAATTTTCCTTAAGAATAGATGCCTATTATAGAGGTGAGATGGTAATAATGTACTTATATTTGAACAGTCTCAAAACATAAAGAAAATTCCAGTTTGATCTTCATTGCCAGATACAGAGCTGTCATCAGGAGGATTTTTGTTTTGTTTATTTTTTCTGTTACTGATTAACAACTTTGGAATGATTTCACTTTATTTTTATTTGGAAAAAACAATTTATTATATCTATGACTAAATGTGATTCGAGTTTTACTTATTTGAAAGTTTTACCGTATGCATTTTATAATCCTAAAATAACTTTGAATTAGAGGAAAAAGTTGCTTTGTAAAATAATGAGCTCTCTATTCATAAAAGTGTTTAGACATGCATACTTACGCCACCATCCCTCCAAATAAATATTTACAAACCAACAAGGATGTTATAGAATGGAATTGTATGGTTTCTTGGTGGAGAAATCAGTGATTCTAATTTTAAGAATAACAAATTTTGATTTAGAGAATGCTATAAATTATGTTGCTAATTTTGGCTTAATGTTGAGTTTTTTTAAGAAGCTCAATGTTTGCATAGATTTAATTGAAACCTGTATTGAGAGATAATTTTTATAAGAGCATATGGGTTCATTTGTCTCCTACATGTTATGTAAACTATATGATTTAATGTAATATCTAACATACTAAAAAAAAAGAAACCACCTTATAGAACCATGGGAAAATTAGATCATTTTAATTCTTAAGTAGATATGAACTCTTAATTTTATTTTTTCTCAGCATATTAACAAATTTCCTACCCACTTGGAAATTGGAATAAGACACTGTAACTTAATGACTGAATAATTGTAGTTATTAATGTTAAGAAATTATTTAAGAAAGTAGACACTTGGAAGGATTGTGTTTCACTTAGACATTAAAAAGGTAATCACAACAACAAACGTTTTTGAGTACATAGTGTGCCCTACACATTGTACTAAATGTTTTACAATCTGCTTTTTATTTAGTCTTCATAACAGCTCCTTGAGGTAGGTAATAGTATTAATCTATTGTATTGATGTAAAACTGGACATAAAGATGGTAGAGTAATGCCCTGAATGTTGGGCTTTATATTGGATTTTGTTTTTATTTTGTCAAACCAGTTACTTTAATTGAGCATGTCTTATATTTTGATTGTTTTCTAATTTCTTTCACATACATTTAATCTGATATTGATAGAAGACAAACCATGAATACTCCAGGCAAGATTATTTATAAACACATGTTGTGTAGCTCTTTAGTCCTTACTTGTTGATAACCATTTTCTTCAGGTATTTCAAAGCAACTGCTACTTAAGATAGGTGTTCTCCCTCTGTCCAGTTTCCCAGCCCCCACAAAAAAATCCATTGCTTAAACTTTATTTTAAAGTTTATATATTTAAGAAAGAGAGAACATGGGAGGGGCAGATAGAGAATCCCAAGGTGGCTGCACTGCCAGAGCCTGAGCCTGACTCAGGGCTTGAACTTACAAAACAGGAGATCATGACCTGAGCCGAAACCAAGAGTCCCAGTGCTTAACTGACTGAGCCACCCAGGAACCCCTAATTGCTCAGACTTTAAAACATTAACTTACTATTTTGAAAATGAGCTCAAATTTTATATTGGGTTTTATTTTGCTTCTAGACTGTGAAATCAAAGGCTGTCTTCGCTCCAGTGCTTCTGGAGAGATAGCAGAATGTTTCCTCTTGATGGTTCTAGCTCAGTATTACCTCCCTGTTTGCTGTTGCTTAAGTGTAAAGATTTTGTATTTCTTGTGAATAGTATACTTCAAACACAGTAGACTAAAGATGTGTCTTAAATGATTTTGTTTTTAAAATTCTTAGGCAATTAGGATTAGAGCTACTATAACATTCTTTCTGTAGTTTATTTTTTACTAAAGTAATACTGTATTTTTTGTTTTATTTATGATTGATTTTTAGTATTGCTGCTTGTTATTTTAAACACCTGGCTTCATTGAAGAATTTTATTTCCTTTAATCCATGTGAAAACCTTACTATTAGTTATATTCATGTTATTTCATTAATGCATTTTTCTTTGTTTATACATTTATTTCTATTTGATTAAGGATAAGAACTCCTGTACTTTTTAAAAAACCTTTCCAAAACCAAATAGAGAAATTAGTGATTTTTATATATTTCTTTTTGTCTGTTTTAGGATGGCTACCATAGAGTAGTTAATATTGTGCCAAAGAAACCACCACTGCTAGACAGACCTGGTGAAGGAAACTACAATAGATATTACAATCATGTTGATTACCGAGACTATGACGAGGGCCGCAGTTTTTCTCATGATCGAAGAAGTGGTCCACCTCACAGAGGAGTATGTAAATTTCCCCCATGTACTAATTGTTATATTTTATAAGCTTAAAAATCATGTAATTTTTGAAATTTGTTACTGACCATGAAGGCAGTTGAATAAACACTTCCTGCTTGATGCTCTGTTGACTTGCCTGCTAGAGCTGTCAAATGGGAACTGGTAGTGGAGAATCTTGGGACAAAGTAGGTAAGCCACTCTGGATAGCTCTATCTAAATGACATTAATTCCAACTAACCTGTGTTTTTATCCCCTAAATTGGAAAGAATTTGCAGAAGCAGGTAAAGTTAATCTATTTATTGCCTTGATACTCAAAAAGTGATGAGCAGGTGGTTACCATCTCTTACTGGAGGTACTCACTTAAATTACTTTGATTATTTTCATTCATGATGAAATGCTGTGGGTGAAGTTGGATTAACGTTGTTGAGTTTTAGTCTCATGTTTGTTGTACTGATTGAAATCTACTTACTCAAATTAGAAAGCTCTCAAAACACTACCTGTCCTATATATAATAAGCACTTTTTAAATGTTAGCTATTATTACCACGGTTGTTATTGTATTTTGTTTCTTCTGATTGTCTTTAATACTCCAGAAGTATGTTGCAATAATCTGTCATTGAATTTGATTGCAACTATTTCTTGATGCAGTTCTTTTGAACTTAGTTTGTGTGTTTACATTTCTCCTCTGCTAGACTATTTTCCTACATTTTCTTTTTTCCCTTTGCTTACTGTATAATACAGTATTATAATTTACAGTACATATTCAAACATTATTTATATTAAAATTTGACCTCACATTGGCTGTTGGAATTACTCTCCATACTTTACCCTTAAAGTGATTTAGCCAGGGTTATATGTGTATATGTATGGAACGCTAGTTCTCTGATCACTACATCATGGTGACCCTTAAGAATTCTAAAGTAGTAATGAGACTATTCAATGTTTTCTTGTAGTTTTAAAGTTTGGAGTGTGCAGCTTCTTTCTCATAGAATTGATTTTTGTTTTGTTCAATTTTTAAATGTTGTGCTGTTCCTTTAGGAAGAAGAATTTAGTGTAAAAAAACTAAACATGCACTATCTCTATCCTAGAAATACTGTACTTTGTCTTTGGAGCCATTTTTCAAGGTAGTCTGAAGAAGAAAAAATTTGGCCTAGCATAAGATTTGGCCTTATGAAAACCCTTCTTACGAAAACTAAATGTGGCCATTTAATATGGATAGGGAATTTGGGATTCATTGGACCAATTTGCATTTGAACCCTCGTGAATATGATTTTTTTCCCCCTAAAACCGTGTAGCATAATAGTGCCTCAACAGTACTTTTTTAAAATTACAAATTGTGTTCATTCATACTTTATACATTTTCTCTTTAAATTCTCTTCAAACAAAAATGACCCTACTTGATATTCTTAGGACTCTTGTGATACTAAATTATCTTGAGTTCAGTTACATAAACTAACTTTACCCAATATCATCTTACAGCCTTTGAATTTTCTTGATCTTTCATTTTGTTGTAATGTCTTTTGTTTCTTTATGTTTACTGTTGAGAATGAAAATGATGAATACATTACTTTTATGTAAGAGTAGAGTATATGATGCTAGAGAAGACCATGAAAATATTTATTCTAGCTGAATAAGTATTTCTGATTATAAATAATTCACATTATATTCTGTATATAATTTTAAAGTAATTGGGCGTGGATTACTATGTGTGTGTTTTTAATGTACCTTGCGAATGTATTTGTTTTAGAGGACACAATGTTTTTTTTTAATTAATCATAAACTTAGTGCCACATGTTGATCTAATTTAACTTATCAGTAAGTGATGTTTTCCTATTATGTTGTTTCCAAATTATGGGTTTTAGTGGGAGTCAAGATGAGAAAAGAAAATTTGAACAAGTGGGAAAGTAGCAAATGTTTCCTGGTCTTGAATTTGAAAATTGGTGAAAGAACTTGACAGAAGGAAATAGAAAGACCTGTAGGCTTCATTTAATTTAAATTGAGCCTTTGTTCTTCTAACAGCCTTTAGCTGTTGTGATGTTGGTATCTGTTTTTGGCAATAAGGCTATTAGGGCCTACCAAAGAAATACTGTAAGAATTTTCATACAGATAGATGGTACCACAGGTTGTCAGTCTACTAAACTAGTTGTTATGTGTGACTTGCTGTATCTTTTTTTTTTCTTTTTTATGCCTTTGAAACTCAGAGAAATTTAGAGAGGTATTTTTATCCTCATATTATTTTGGTCTTAGAGATTAGTTTCCACTAGTACTGTTAGATAAACCCTACTTGACCAAAATAATATAAACAAATCTGAGTAGCTTTTTTATTTTACAGGATGAATCTGGCTATAGGTGGACAAGAGATGATCATTCCACGAGCCGACAGCCAGAATACAGGTAAAAAGATAAACCTAGTACCATAACTACTCTGATACCTGATGCACAGAGCTGTCTGATGTTGAAATCTGACCTCACTGCTTATAGATGAAATATTTCTACTTAGGATTTAAATTTTTGAAAGCAACAAACATTATACTTTTGTGATTAATATAATAGCACTAATAGCATTCTGTGTCAATTGGCATTTTGTAATTGATAATAAAAAATAATGTTTGAACTATTGATATATTCTTATCAAATTAGTTATTATTCCTGATGTGTGATATGGATTATAAGGTATCTGTTTACTTAATTAGAACGTTAAGGCTGTTTTTTTCCCCTCCGGAATATTTAAGTTATTGCAAAGTTTCCTTTATTCTTATTTATTTTTAAATATTTAGTTTTGAGAGACAGAGACAGAAAGAGAGAGAGAGCGTGATCAGGAGAGGGGCAGAGAGAGGGAGCGAGAATTCCAAGCAGGCTCTGCACTGTCAGCACAGAGCCCAGTGCGGGGCTCGATTCCATGAACTGTGAGATCCTGACCCAAGCCAAAATCAAGACTGAGACACTTAACTGACCAAGCCACCCAGGTGCCCCCAGAGTTTCTTTTATTATAAGCTGACATTCTTAGATGCTTTAGTTTGATCAGTAAGGTTCTATTGGAAAGACACATTTTGGAAGGACCTCAGGCGTTGTTAGCCTTGGTTAACTATTGAAGCATCTGATAGAATAGTTAGGAAAAAAAGAGGGACAGCCTTAATCAAGTTTTTTTTTTTTTTAATGACTTCACAAAGGAAGTAGTAAAAGTTCTAAAAGCTTTTTAAAGATTCTTATGAACAGTCAGAGAATAGCCTATGGAGAATGGAAAGGGATCAACTGCCACAACTCTAGGTGCCAGAAGTAGACAAGAGGATTCAGTGGATGAGAGCAAGGCAGTTTATTACTCCCAGCCCAGCAGTCATCAGGGGCATCAGCATGGCAATGCTGGTTCCCTGCCTTCACGTCCCATAGCGTGTGATGCAGTGGGCAGGGACGAGAGCCGTGCATACAGTGGGATGCACCGCAGCTGAGGAACACAGCATCAAGAGCTTGCTACCTTTTTGTAGTAAACAGGAAACAAACAAGCCAGTCCTTCTTTCACTGAAAGTGAGTAGTCACGTGCTTATGCTGTCGTCACCTTGACATATTTAATTGTATGACCAGCTGTAGAAATTGTGCGGTGTCAGCAGATGGTTAGGTCTTATGATTTGGAGTACATGGCAGGGATGTGCAGGGATGGGCTGAACCCATGGTGGACTGCCTCTCTCAAAAGAAAGAATAGAGAAAATAGATGCTGAAAAATACTTTCTTTTTAAGCTTATTTTTTGAGAGAGAGAGACAGAGCATGCGTGAGAGAGAGAGCAAGCATTCATGAGTGGAAGAGGGGCAGAGAAAGGGAGAGAGAGAATCCCAAGTAGGCTCCACGCTCAGGTCAGTGTGGAACCTGACTCAGGGCTTGATCCCATGAACCGGGAGATCATGACCTGAGTGGAAAGCAAGAGTCATCCACTTAACCGACTGAGCCACCCAGGTTTCTTGATACTTTAATAAAATTTAATTACAGTGTTAAACTTAACACAGTAATTATAAAGACTTCTAGCTAGAAATGGAAGAGAATTTCCTTTATCTGATAAATGGGGGTTTGTACTGAGTGGTAAAATTAGAAGCATTTGCTTTAAAATGAGAATGGAGCAAAGATGCTTGTTATCACTGCTTCTATTTATCATGGTAATGGAGGCCTAAGCCTCTAGAGTTATACAAGAAAAATATATAAAAGTTGTAAGAGTTAGAATGAAAGAAAATTATATATAGATGATAAATTATCTATGTAGAAAATCCAAGAGAGTCTATCACTATTAGAACTATTAGGAAATTAGCAAAGGTTAGTGTAATAGCTGTTAGCATAAGTTAGAATTTTAAAATTCTAATTTAATTTAAAAATACTGTAGCATAAAAGGAGTGATAGGAATAAATCTAAGAAAATTGTGTGAGACCTAAGTAGATGAAATGGCAAGTCATTTCTGAAGGACACTGAAGACCTGAATAAAAGGAGCAACATAGAGGCAGTGAGGTGGTTTAATTGGTTAAGAGGCTGACTTGCTTTCAGCTCAGGTTATGATCCCTCAGTTTGTGGGGTCGGGCACCGCATGAGCCCCGCACTGACACCAAGGAGCCTACTGGGGATTCTCTCTCTCCCCCTCTCTCTGCCCCTCCTCTGCTTACGAGCGCTCGCGCGTGCTCTCTGTCTCTCTCTCTCTCTCTCTCTCTCTCTCTCGATCTCTCTCGATCTCTCTCTCTCTCCCTCTCAAAAAATAACCATTAAAAAAATCATTTTTAAGAAAGGCAAAATATATGTGTGACATCTGTGGTTGGGAAGAGACTGTATCATGAACATGTCAGTTCACAAATTCAGGTGTTCCTTTAGTTTGATTCCGTTCCAAATTCCAGGATTTTTTTTCCCATGAAGGTTGGCAAGTTGTTTCTAAAATTACCATGAAGGAGTAAAGGGACAAATGGCAAAAATAGCCTTGAAAAGTATGTGAAGACTCCAAATACTATACATCATAACTTACCAAGCTGTAGTAATGTAAACTGTGAAACTGAAAAGGGAGTCTAGAAACAAACCTAGATTATATCTAGGAATTTGCGATATAGCACTAAGAATCAAAAGGAGGAAAGAATGAACTTTTCAGTAGATAGTGCTGGGACAAGCTGCCATCATTTGGGGGGAAAACAAGGAAATTGAAAAACCTGGTGTGTCAAAATATCTGTTAATAATAAAGACCTAAATATGAAAGGCAAAAGTATAAGAAAAACTCTTGATTAGATTAGCTCATGGTTCATAGTCACGCTAAAGAAACAGTTCTCAGGTTGATTTTTAGTTATATTGCTTTTCAGGATTTAAAATAATGGCATACTTCTATCTTTATTTTCCTTTTCTGACTTTTGTAGCACTTTATTATTTTCCTATCTATATAATTTTACGTAAATGAAACAGAAGATCATATATGGGACTCCTCTTTCCCACAGTCATGTTAACAGTTTGGTGTATGTTCTGTATTTTTTCTCTATATTCACAAACATTTGGACTATTTGTTGTTAACGAGATCATATTATACATACTCTTCTGTAAGTTCCTTATCTCCTTCAGTGGCTTGTGGAAATCTCTCCAGGTTTTTTGGTTTAACTTTTATTTGAATCTTTTAAATGGCTGAGTTCTATTCCATCGTGTGGATATACCAAATAATTTAGCTGTTCATCTATCGATGAATATTCACTTTGTTTCCGGTACAAAGCAGTGTCATAATAAATCTGAGTATATCATGTACTAAATAGTACTTTGGTTTCTATGCAATAGTTTGTCTAAAGTGGAATTTCTGGGTCATAGGGCAGGTATATTTTACATTTTAATAGACAACACTTATGTTTCTATTTTTGAAAAAAGCCTAACACTTTAATTTGGTTAGTTTTTTTTATTTCTTACTTATAAGTGTAATATAAGTAGAGTTTTGGGAATTTTCTTTTGTTGTTGTGATTCCTAATTTTTTTTCTTTTTTAAAATTAATTTATTTTTAATGTTTTATTTATTTCTGAGAGAGAGACACAGTGTGAGCAGGGGAGGGTCAGAGAGAGAGGGAGGCACAGAATCCGAAGCAGGCTCCAGGCTCTGAGCTAGCTGTCAGCACAGAGCCCGACGTAGGGCTTGAACCCACGAACCGTGAGATCATGACCTGAGCCGAAGTCAGACACTTAACCACACTTAACCGACTGAGCCACCCAGGCCCCACCTTTTTTTTAAAATTTAAATCCAAGTTAACATATAGCATAATAATGTTTTCAGGAATAGAATTTAACGGTTCATCAGAATGTTGGAATTTCTTTTAAGAATTGTTATAACTGTGTCCCATAGATTCTGATAGATAATAGTTTTTTTTTTTTTAACTGATCGTGACATAGTATATTCTATTCATTCTGTGATCAGAGAATGTTGCCTGTACTCGTACTCTATTGTTTGAAATTTTTTGGTATAGAATTTATTGTATATGGTATATTCATTCATTTGATAAATATTTATTGGGAGACTGGTAATGTCAGGTATTCTTTTACCTCCATGGATAAAAAGGTTCTCTTATTAGCCTACGTTTTAGTATGAATTGTAGATAGTAAACAGATAAATCTAATTTTTTTGAAGAGAAATAAAGCAGGATGGTAGTGTAGAAAGGATTTTTTCCACATTTTCTCCCACCTTCACTTGATGTCTGGGTGTCTTCAGTAACATTTCAGGTATTATGCTCTCCCAGAACCTACTGCTTTTACAGACTAGCATCATTCTGTCTGTACATTGTTCCCTATTAGGTGGCCTCATTGAAGAGTTCCAAGCTTAAAGACTTTGTGAAAAAGAACTTTGTTCTGGGTGGAGATCACTGTACTGTAAACCATGCAGAGAGTGGTTGTAATACTGTTTTGAGTGTTTAGGAAAACCATGCTAATTTAGTTAGTGCTTTGTTGGGGTGTACATGATAATTCTTTATGTTGTGGAAAGAAAATATTAGAATACTTAAAACGTGTTTGAAACCGTCTTTAAATTTATAGAAAAGTTGTAAGAATAATTTAAAAATCTGCTATAATTGTTCACCAAAGACTCCCAGTAATGTCTCTCACAATGCCCCAAATATGTGTTTTTTAGCAAAAAGATCTATTCTGAGTTTACAGGTCATATTTTTGTAGACTTCTTTAATCTGAAACAGTTCCTCCGCCTTTTCCTTGATTGTATGCCTCATTGTTTTGGGCAAGATGAATACAGGGCAGACATTTTGTAGAATGTTTCTCTTTAGGTTTGTCTGATGTTCACAATTAAAGTTAGGCATTTTTGCCAGGGCAGTCCCTGAGGTGATGCTGCATTCTTTTTATTGCATCCTGTTGGTTGCCCAGGTTGTCAATTTGTCCCCTTTTTGGTATTATTGACTTTTGTCATTTAA